CGTGTGACAAGTGAGCACTGTCTCTCCACAAGCTGGCTGCACAACACAAGCAACAGCAGTCTGGCCTCCGTCTCCTCACACCAGACTCCCGCCAGCAACCTTTAGCCCCCAGAGTTTACTTCCCTTCTCCCCTGTAGCACTCTGGGAACTGTAGTTCAAGTATCCATTTTCATTTGTAATTCCTCAGTGGCTGTGTCCACAATCCCCACAAAGCTGTGCTCTCTGGCTCCACCTGCAGCTGCAATATCTTTTCTCTTAAAGGAGCTGATCCCATAACAGGGCTACAATACACTTTAGGCCTTACTCATAAACATTTTTAGTGCAGTCAATGTAATATTTAATAAGTTTTTTTTTTTCTTCTTTTAAATAGGTGCACGCTTATTTATTTGTAATAATGTGTTTTAGAGTTGGTCGCCTACAAAGAGGCTTTAGATGTGAACTCTCTAAAGGGTGAATTTGACCTCTTCCTGTAATAGTGTAGCTTCAAAAAATGTGTATTTATTTGTTTGGATAGTGGGGAGAAGGGTTTGAACTTCTAGTGGGTTTTTTATTGCTGTCCCCTTTGGAAAATGTTTCTCTACTTCCTTGTAACTCTGACACCGCAGGAGGTAAATAAATCTTTCCAGTGTTAACAGACAGCTCAAAAAGTTGACAGTGGTTTCAACTCTTCTCCATTCAAATGTTTAATGTGCTTTTATTGCTGTTGGTGGTCTGTTTGGAGAGATTTTCCTTGCTTTCTTTCCTGGTCTCATAACAGGAAGTGATTGGAAATCACACCAATTGGAACATAGATGGCAATAAAACCTTGCAATGGTTTTAACTCTGCTTCGTTCTATTCAACACTTTCAAAACAGAAACAATTTGTCTGGAGTTCTACTTTAATATTGTCAGCTCAGGTGTTCAAAAAACTTTAATTGCAGATTATGTGGCCTGCTGCATCACAGGTTTAATTATACCCTTCAGAGGGACATTGAACCATTTGAGGTGTGTGTCCACATAAGTGATCTCGACTACAGTTCCTGTTTGCATAAGTATATGTGTGTATATTGTATGGAGGTTTTCCCCACGGAGACTGGAATATTTTTCTACACATTGCTGATTTCCTGTTACTAACTAATGGACATGGCAGCGAGCCATGGTGCTAAAAATACTTAATAGGCAATAATATTTAAACTCCAATTCACTGCAAAGGCAAAAAAGAATCTCAAACATCTAAAGCGCATCAGTGTATATAAAGTTTAATTGCATAGTTTAATAATCACATTATACTTCTCAATCATGTGTGACGGTATATACAAAGAGAATTATTAGTATCGGAAAACCAAATTATTCAATGTTTTTTTTTTTAGTTTTCTTGTTCAGCATTTTTTGTTTTCACAGAAGCAAAATGACAACTTGTTCAACAGTGTTGGCAATAGACACATTACATAGGTGTTGTATACAGTGGTAGCAACATATTGGGTATGGCAGAACCTTTGCTCTGATAAAAAATAGTATTTTATTTATGAAAACAGGTAGAGATCTGAAATTTAAGGCGATTCCCTAGTAGTTCTTTGTATGAACTACGAATGCATCAATACCGTTTTTTCGGTATTGAGTACCGATATTTTGCTTTCGTTACTCGCCAGTTCTGATACTGGTGCTTCGGGTGGCATGGAGCCAGCTTCCAGGGCAGTCAGGAAGCCGGGCGGCATGTAATGACATGCTGCTCGGCTTCCTCATTGCCCGGGAAACCGGCTCCATGTTGTTTGGCCGTCTCGATTGTGATTGGCCCGGAAACCGGCTTCCCAGCCAATCAGCATCAGGAAGATTGGCCGGGAAGCAGGCTCCATGCTCATTGGCTCGCTTCCCAGCCAATCGGAACCAAGCTGGCTGTTTGGCCGGCTCGATGCTGATTGGCCGGGAAGCTGGCTTCCCAGCCAATCAGCAAGGAGTTGGGTGTTCGGCCAGCTCGATGCTGATTGGCCAGAAAGCTGGCTCCCCAGCCAATCAGCATTGAGCTAGCTTCCCAACCAATCAGAAAGCCGGGAGGCAGGTCATTACTCGCCACCCGGCTTCCTGATTGCGCAAGAAGCTGGCTCCATATTCCCCTATGGCACTGCCAGTCAGAGGAAATGTTCCTCTGACTGGAAGTTCCGCTATCAGAGGTAAGTATCAGAGCATTTGGGCATTTGTGTACAATAATATTGTGCAGTATATACACATACATATATATATATATATATTTATTAAATTTAAATTAGTGCAAATTAGTAAACAAAATATTACTGGTGAAAATAAATAATAACATTTAAAATATGCAATGCGATGTAACACTATGAAAATAAAACCACAGGATATTGTACTAGATATTAGTAAAACAGGACCATGTATCTAGGAAATGCAGCTCCTGAAACTCTCAGTAGGATGTGATCACAAAAGAATGTACAGATTTAACACGTGACTTACGCCAGCAAACAAATATTTAGAGCTCCAACTACTGGTATACATTAACCGGTAGGCAATACTTCTCTAATAGACAGGATCAGCTAATTAGTCTAAAATCTATCTGAAGTAAAAGACAAAGTCCAGCCAAGCTATTTTGTGTGCGTGTGTATATCTATATACAGACAGTCCCCGAGTTACATACATCCGACTCCTACTTACAAACGGAGGCTATTACTGTACAGCAGGAGTAGTTGTAATGTTATCGTGCTCGTACTGATGAGGAGTGTTCGCCTTTTTGAGTCTGGATTGTAGTACTGTATGTACATTACAGGAAGTTGGCTCTTGTTAGACATCCAGACGAGGGGTGCCCACCTCTTCTGGGTCACTGTGAGGTTTTTACTGCTGTCTGTATCATCTTTCATTAGAAACATTTAATCTTACTTCCTGTCCTTGCAACAACAGGAAGTGAGAGGAAATCTACCCCTAGGAAGGGAAATTCACTCCTGTAAGAGCGATCATGGGAAAAAGGTGTCTCCACTGAAGCTTTATCACCAATCCTTGTTTCCACGACAACCCAAAATTTTCAAAATCCAATTGTCACAGGGACAGAAAGTGAGGGGAAATCTTCTGAACTGGGGCACACACAGCAAAACAAACATTTTTGGCTGGAGTTGCACTTAAAAAATGTACCTGTTCCAACTTCCATACAAATTAAACTTAAGAACAAACCTACAGTCCCTATCTGGTTCGTAACCCGGGGACTGCCTGTATGTATATGTGTATATATATATATATATATGTGTATATATATATATATATACACACAATCAGACTAAACTCTTGGGTAGGAGCTTGAATTAACTTCCGTTCTATAACATAATTGATATTAGAGATAATTTTTACTGCAGCTAACATTTCTCTAATTCAATTTCGATGCTAACACTATGTCACCGAATGGTTAGATTAAATGGTTTAGTCAGATATATATGGGTACCATAAATTGCTTGCAAATAGATGCAAAATTATACTTTACTACTAATCTGGAAAGTTTTCGGTCTCAGTGATATTCAGCCTTGGTCAATTTAGTGACAGAAACTCCTTATCAGATGTTCAGGTTTTCTTCCAGTCAACTTTCGTTTTCTCTTCTCATTCCTCCCTGTTCAGTCTTCCTTCTCCCAAATTTATCTAAGCTTGTATCACCCAAAATTTTGGGAGGAGGAATTATCCCGACTATGATGTCACTACTCATCTCACTTTACTCCAAATTATACCCGGCATTACCTGAAGGAGACAGTCTTCGAATAATTTTGGATTTTTCTTTAACACTTCTGGACCTCGTCTTTTAGACGTCCTCTTGACCTTGGATTAATATAGGAACATCAATTTCAGAGATAACTAATTACTTGTCTAGAATTCTAGACATAAAATAAAAAACGACCATCTCTTTAAGACAATGGTGTATTATAGTGTAGCCCAGCAAATTTGAGAAGATCTAGCCTACTCCCTACAGTTTTTCATTTACCAGGTCTTATTGACAATGAAAGTTAAAGGGAATCTGTCATGAATATGGGAATGTCATTGTTGTTCTCCCACTGAAAATGCTAGTTTCCTTCCTGGGTCTTGCTTCAATATTTGAAACAATAAAAATGGTCCCTGGCACAATTTCAAACCAGCCAGGAAAAGTACTAAACTGCTTCAACTGCTCATAATTTTGATGCATACATTTGCAAACACATGTGGAAGCAACTCTGCTGTCAAGGCACTTTACAATGCACAGCAGAGAGCATGCTTCCCTGGAGGCCTTTCCTCCTCAAAGATACAACATCACACCTTCAGCTGAGCCTGATTTCTGTTTGTGCATTGATATAGCTGGGAACTCGCAATGCAATAAATGCAACACAAGTAGTGTAAATCGAGCCTGGCAAAAAGGGGGCCATCAGGCAATATTTTCTGTCTGTAAGCCCTGTTGTATGTATTTATTGAGATTTAAGCTTAATGAGCTTTGCTTACAAACAAGAATCATCTTGCCTAGTTGGAAGTCTTGTCAGCTCAATTAGTAACAAGAGTTCCTACAGTTAATGATTGTAAAATTATCACAGGGGTTAATGTCCTCAGACAAGTATGATCACTGGAGTTTTATTTTAAGCTACAGATAAAGAAGAGGAAACGTCAGGTGTTTATTGCCAGCTGTGACTTCGATAGGGGCATGTCTTTGTACTTTCTTCCCTAGTGACACCAAAACAAAAAGGTTAGGGAACTGGAATTAGCACGACAGGAAGACACAAGCACACCAATAAAGACCTGACCGAGATTATAAAACTTCACTACAATAGTGTTTTTGTTAAACTTCCTGTTACCAGGACAGGAAATGTGGGAAATCTCCGCAGTAGGGATACAAACAGCAGTAAATAAAAATAAAAAAATGACATGGGTTTTAACAATTTTGCACTCTGTCAAAAATGGGGGAAATTATTTTGAGGGCATTTATATTACAGTAGCTTTAATATATACCGTAAGACCAGTATAAAGCCTATGGAAAATGTTTTCTTAAATGTTTTTTGTCTTTTCTACAGCACGCAAAACTAAGAAGAAGATAAAAGGTATACAGCAGTCTAACACAACCGCAGTACGTGAACTACCTGAAAGTTCAGTGAAGACCATTGTCCCTGCCTCCATAGCACAACTTACACCTACTTTGATCTCCTTATTGGAGGCCATTGAGCCAGAAGTATTGTACTCAGGTTATGACGGCACCATTCCAGAGACTGCATGGCGTGTCATGTCCTCTCTGAACATGCTCGGGGGCCGCCAGGTGGTATCTGCAGTGAAATGGGCAAAGGCAATACCAGGTAATGTGTCATTTGAAATGTTTTGGTGTATTATAATCACTAAATCTTAAGGTAGCTTTAGTTACCACACAGAAGCTTACAAATTAACTTTTTGGGTGAAAAGAAAGAGAAAACTTGTACATGCCAGTTCAGGTGTTTTCAATAATGTCTGGTTCCTTTCACGCAGGCTTTGGTAGAAATATTGAAATCTATTATGATTGCACATGAATATATCATCGGCATTCTTTCTAAACTATGGGACTCTTCACCACCGTACATTTATTGTGTTTACCAGTGAATAAAGCTGAACTCCAAGCGGCTCAGTGTACATTTACATTTAAATGACATGTTTGTGAACGGTTTTAACTGTTCATCAATGGTGTAATCCAGACAACCCCTGCCAGACAACAAACAGGGCCCTGATTTGCTGTTTAGTTAGGCTCTCTCATTGGAAAGGTCTTACAGCCGAGCTTTACACTCAAAAATCTAATTCTGCCAATGCATTCCTCTATGTATGATGATTAATAATAGCATAGACATGTCAGGTGTAAAATGCTGTGATTTTGAAATTATTACACTTGCAGAGCATTCACTTCCTGCTTTGGATGGGCAAAATGACTTCAGTTTGCCAAAGCAATGCACACTGGGATTGCCTTTGTCATCAGCAGAGCATTGAAGGAAATCTCATCTGTAATCTCACAAAATCTCAGGGGAAGGCATTTTCCTCCCCTGAGTTGATGTGCATGGTCACATGCCTAGTCACATGTCTAGTCACGTGCCAGAAATCCAGGAAGTAATAGGAGAGCTAGTAACCTGCATTTAGTAAACATGACAACTGTCAGAAGACTGGGAAAGAAAAGAGAAATAAAGTATGCAAAAAATGCAAAGCCTGTAGTTATCTAGAAGTATGTGTTTTGTAGATTGTCATTACTAAACATTTCTAGAGGTGTTTTTGGTGTTATTTTAAAGATATGGGTAAAGATCCACGTTAACACCACAAGTGGGTGAGACTTAAGGGTTAATTTAGTAAAAGCAAATAGGCTGTTCACTTTGCAAGGCAATTTTCCTTTAGCTTTGTAAATGTGGTGAAAATTCACTCTGTAAAGAATACCCAATCACGTGCAAGGAAAATAAACAGTATTTTTGCTTGCACATTATTGGATGATGGAAGTCAGCAGAGTTTCACCCTATTCACTAAGGTAGGGGGAAAATCCCTTGCAAAGTGAACAGCCTGTTTGCCTTAGTGAATCAACCCCTTGAGCTCCCTTAAGCTTTTTGTTGTGATCAGCGCTTATTGTCAGGCCACCAGCAGCCTGCTACATGGTCAGAGAAAGTTCAGTAGCAGTGCACTGGTGAGGTCCACTCTATGCTCTCTTGCAATGTTATGTGCAATGCAGTAGGACCCTAATAGGCTTACAGTGCTGAGACGCCATTTCCTAGTCTGCATGCTGCTGTACAGAAGGGTTACAGCAGGGGTGCCCACAAGGTCGATCGCGATCTACCAGTCGATCGCGTAGCGATCACTGGTAGATCGCACTGTCCTCTCCTCCCGCCGCTTCTCTGGATCCCCGCTGCTCTCCCCAGCGGGGATCCGAGAAGAAGTGAAGGAACCGGCGGCGGGGGAGGACGGAGCCGCTGTCACAGAACTAATGAAGAGCGGTGAGGAGAGAGAGAGAGAGAGAGACGCTCGGCCAGGATCTGACAGCCGGCGCCTCTCTCTCCCCTCACTGCTCGTCACTAGTATGTACCAATCCTCTGACCCCTAATATTTCCCCGAAGCCATACCAAGAGATTAAAAAAAAAAATTACGAAAATTAAAAAAAATAAAAATAAATAATGCAAATGAAAAAAAATAGAAATAAATTTAAAAAACGTTTTTTTTCTTGCCTCAGGCGCAAAAGGAGCTGGCTACGGCTATGCTCCCGTGGTGCTCGTGCGGCTGCCGGCTGAATGTGTCAGACACTGCAGATGGAAAGTTGCAGGACACCCCATGTGCAACGTCGGCCACACGAGCACCACGGGAGAACAGGACGCCGGGACCTGTAGGGCGCATTGGAATGTAAGCCAGCCGACTCCCTGCGTTCAGGTGCGGAAGGGGTTGTGGAGCTGTATTGAAGTCAATGGCATCGCCCACATTGCGATCGCCCACACTCGGAACGCAGGCACATTAGTGCCTGCATTCCGGTCCAGTGTGATCTGCAAAAATAGTGCTCACAGAATTTTTGCGGATCGCACTGGACTGGAACACAGGCACTAATGCAGGCAATCGCACTGTGGGCGAGCAGCCTGGCTGCGGTGCCATTGACTTCAATGCACCGCCACGCCCCCTCCCGCCCCTGAATGCATGTGTTTTTTCATTGGTAGATCTCAATGAGCTCGTCATTTGAAAAGTAGATCTCCAGACGAAAAATAGTGGGCGCCCCTGGTTTACAGGAACCTAGTATAAAGACAAGGGACAATTATGGGATATGGCGACATTATAAGACATTCAATACTCTTTATAGGACAACAATTTGTGTGGCAGAATGTATTCCTATTATACACAAATAAAGTCTCCTGTGTATAGACACATTTGTTATTCTCTTGCTAAATTTGTGGTAGAAGAAATATGTTTTAGTGCTTTGTCCTTGGAAACAAAGATTTACTAGTGTTTAATTCTTTTCAGGCTTTAGAAATCTGCACCTGGATGACCAAATGACCCTTCTGCAGTACTCATGGATGTTTTTGATGGTGTTTGCCCTTGGATGGAGGTCTTATAAACAGTCCAATGGGACTGTGTTGTATTTTGCTCCAGATCTTGTCATTGATGAGTAAGTAAAAAGTATTTGGCCTTCATAAAACCTACACCATTATCATTATTTACATGGAAGGCATGTATGAAAAGAAACCCATGATGTGCTGTAGGAAAGAAGCTCTCATTTTAAAACTGGTTCTGACATCCCTAAACTAAATCCTCATTTTCATCAATAGAACAATGTTTTTACTATTTCATTTTGGTTAAACAAAAAACAAACAGTTGCTTACAGAGCAGAGTTAAAAATGATAGTTGTCGGCTTTTTATGTGCACAGATTTGTTGTTTGTGCTGTAGGATGATTGGTAAACATCTGAAAACATAAATACATAAACAGAGTTTCAACTTATTTTATATACCATATTTTGCGCACCTGACCACAGGTCGCAGGGAGGGTAGGAGTCTGTGATAGCTGCAGTTAGTGATAGCTGAGACAGGTGGCGCTGTGATTACAGCGCCACGGTCTTGGTGATCACACAGAGCAGACGAACAGACAGGGGACCCCGAAAAACCACGGCGGGGGAGGGCCCCACACACGATCGCATCCGCCGCTCGATTTGATACAAGTAATATGATTAGATCACTTGTATTAAACGACCACAGGTCTCAGGGAGGGTAGGAGTCTGTGATAGCTGCAGTTAGTGATAGCCGAGACAGGTGGCGCTGTGATTACAGCGCCACGTTCTCAGTGATCACACAGAGCAGACGGGGGACCCCGAAAACCACTGCGGGGGAGGGCCCCACACACAATCGCATCCGCCTCTCGATTTGATACAATTAATCTGATTAGATCACTTGTATTAAACGACCACAGGTCGCAGGGAGGGTAAGAGTCTGTGATAGCTGCAGTTAGTGATAGCTGAGACAGGTGGCGCTGTGATTACAGCGCCATGGTCTCAGTGATCACACAGAGCAGACGAAGAACGGACGGGGGACCCGAAAACCACGGCGGGGGAGGGCCCCACACACGATCGCATCTGCCGCTCGATTTGATACAAGTAATCTGATTAGATCACTTGTATTAAACGAGCAGGGGCTCCCACTGTACATTTAGCTCTGCTTGTCAAGAGCAGGGCTGAATGTACAAAAAAACTACTTGCCCGGCGCCCGAAACTGCATGTCCCGGGCGTGGGGGATTTGCTCCATAAGACGCACAGACATTTTTGCCCCCCTTTCGGGGGAAAAAAGTGCATCTTATGGAGCGAAAAATACGGTAATACATAAATGTAAACAAAATATTGTGCTCACAAAATCTCTATATCAAAAGGGATGTGAAATCAATATATACAGGACTATTCATAAACGGGTAAAGAGTTTGGAGAAGGCAGGAGACGTGAACAATCTAGGTCAAAAGTGCAATAATATTTGATTCATGGTATTCCCAAAATCATATCAAACATCTGCCACATTTAGTGATTGATATTCCACATCATGGGATTCCCACGGTGCATGGTTCACTAACAAGCAGACAGAGACAATTCCATAGTGTAATACCGTTTATAAAAAACAGAAATTAAAAACAGCAAACTCACTTTCATTCAGGATGTGCACAAAGTACCATGTGTATTGCATTAGGCATTTGAAGCAAGGTATTATTATTGAAGGACATTAGTCCTTAAGGGTTACGTTTATAATGAGATCAGACGTATCCTGTGGGCGCCCCTGAGAAAGTATTTGTGACGAAACGTGTAGGACATGGCCACATAGGATATGTCATTATGTTAGGTCCCGTTTGCTTGAAGGATCAAAGTGGCTGAGCGACTATATGCTGGAAGTGTACTTGTTTCAGGCATTGCCGGCTATGCTGTATTGTCGTTCTTTGCCACGAGGCTTTATAACTTATGCAATGCACATGGTGCTTTGTGCACATCCTGAATGTAAGTGAGTTTGCTGCTTTTAATAAACAGTATTATGCTATGGAAGTGTCTGCTTGTTTTTGAACCATGCACTGTGGAAATCTCATGATGATGGAGATGAATCTCTGAATGTCTCAGATGTTTGATCTGATTTTTCGGAATACCATGAATAAACCAGGTCCAGCAGCTCTGGTGAGTGTTTCTCCTAACCGGGTGGTGGATTGCTTTTTCATCTGGGTGTATGCACAGAAGAGGATTAGACGTCTCTATGAAGACACATTATTTTGGACTTTCAATTCACTTTATACCTTTTGACATAGAGATTTTGTGAGCACTATATTTTGTTTCAGTTCATATAATATATGAAAAATGTTGAAGGGTTATTTATGTTTTGATATTTTACTGTGATCATTTTTAAACAGCTTCTCATTTCAAGGGTCCATTTGTTTTTGTATCACATCATCCCACGTAGCCCATTCTGATGAGGTATATGTATATGCTAATTTTGGATACAGTAAGGAAGGGTCAGAACGTCTGTCAGTTTTTACTGCTCTTTAACTCTGTAAGGAGATTTCTCTCACAACTTGTGTGTACACCAGAGCAGGAAGTGGCATGAATTCTCCCTAGTTGGGAACAGCAGGAAAAACCTAGCAGAGTTTCTAATATATATATATATATATATACATAGATAGATAGATAGAGAGAGAGAGAGATTTAATATCTATGGATATATATCTATATATACACATACATATATTTTAAAGTTTAACTTGAGGTAAACCGCTAAATACATTTGTGAGCTCTTTAACTGCCAAAGGACTCGTATTTTTGTATTTTTGTCCTTCCAGTTGTGGGATTTACATAGCTAGCTCTGCCACACAGCATAGCCCTGTCTGGCAGGGCAAGAGCCTGTTTTGGTCTGCTGCAGTTAAGCAACATTTACAGGTTGTGCCTGTCCCCTAGCCAGTGACTGGACAGTAAAAAGAGACGCAGGAGACAGATGAGCTCATCTCATCTCACCATGCTCTCTCCTATGAGTATGCCCTGGAGAGCACCTGATCACTACAGCACAAAGTATTGTCCTCTTGAGCTGCTTCTTCCTCCCCTGGTCTGACTTCTGCTGTGCAGCTCCTGCCAGAGGTTGTAGTTACATTCAGGTGCTTACACTGCTTGCAATCAAAATATACTCTCAGTTGAGGGCCATCCTATATCAAGTGTAGTAATATATTTCACTTGTGGTACATTCACAAATAGTACAGAAATAGTAATGACAAAACATTTGCCAAGCAAATTCTCTGCATCCATACATCCAATAACCTCTTTTCAGAAATGCAGACATACCATTACATGTGAGCTATGTATCTGACAACTATCGTTTTGAAGTTCCTAACTTGTCAGTCACAGTATACAGACATCAGAGCTAACCTACAGTAAATACCATATTTGAAACAAAAGGAAGAGTTCTCATATTGCTCAACCCTTTTTCTAAAACACAGACACTTTCTATCGCTCTAGCTTTCATAAACAATTCCCATTTCCAAAATTAAAGGAGAACAACCAATTGATGAAATGTCAATCTTTTGCCGAATGTTAAATGCTAGTTGTGGCTTCAGGACGCATCTGCTTTGATTGTCAACAGTAGGGCTCACTGTTTATGTTAACAAAGGCCATGTTTTAGAGGATCTTATAACAAAGCAAACGCTTAACTAAAGCTGGGTATATATGGTTAGCATTGCCTTCAAAAAGGGCTTTTCTTTTAAGAATCTTATTTTGATTTCGTAATAGTTAATGAGATCAGTTTGATGACCAATTTTGTCCGTAGTGGCGCAAAAAAAATTGAAGGAGCAGAATGGAAAATGTGTGTTCAGGCCAGGTTCACACCATTTTCCAGACCAGATCTGGAACGCGGTGCATTGGGTTTTGCCGCCATTTTTCTGTGTTCCAAAGTGTTTTTTTAATATTAAAATTAAGCTTTCAGGTGCGGTCCACACCATTATTTTCCAGCACTGCCTTAACCCTCTTGGGCATGAAGTTCAGAGGTTGCCACTGGAGTCCTCTTCCTCTCCTCCATGATGACATCACGGAGCGGGTGGATGTTAAAAACCTTGCGCTCTTCCACCTTCCGTTTGAGGATGCCCCACGGATGCTCAATAGGGTTTAGGTCTGGAGACATGCTTGGCCAGTCCATCACCTTTACCCTCAGCTTCTTTAGCAAGGCAGTGGTTGCCTTGGAGCTGTGTTTGGGGTCGTTATCATGTTGGAATATTGCCCTGCCGGCCCAGTCTCCGATGGGAGGGGATCATGCTCTGCTTCAGTATGTCACAGTACATGTTGGCATTCATGGTTCCCTCAATGAACTATAGCTCCCCAGTGCCGGCAGCACTCATGCTGCCCCAGACCATGATACTCTCACCACCATGCTTGACTGTAGGCAAGACACACTTGTCTTTGTACTCCTCACCTGTTTTCCACCACACACACTTGACACCATCTGAACCAAATATGTTTATCTTGGTCTCGTCAGACCACAGGACATGGTTCCAGTAATCCATGTCCTTAGTCTGCTTGTCTTCAGCAAACTGTTTGTGGGCTTTCTTCTGCATCATCTTTAGAAGAGACTTCCTTCTGGGACGGCAGCCATGCAGACCAATTTGATGCAGCGTGCGGCCTATGGTCTGAGCACTGACAGGCTAACCCTCCACCCCTTCAACCTCTGCAGCAATGCTGGCAGCACTCATACGTCTATTTTCAAAAGACAACCCGAGGCCTGTTCTGAGTGGAACCTGCCCTGTTAAACCGCTGTATGGTCTTGGCCACCGTGCTGCAGCTCAGTTTCAGGGTCTTGGCAATCTTCTTATAGCCTAGGCCATCTTTATGTAGAGCAACAATTCTTTTTTTCAGATCCTCAGAGAGTTCTTTGCCATGAGGTGCCATGTTGAACTTCCAGTGACCAGTTTGAGAGAGTGAGAGCGATAACACCACATTTAACACACCTCACACCTGCTCCCCATTCACACCTGAAACACTAACGAGTAACATGACACTGGGGAGGGAAAATGGCTAATTGGGCCCAATTTGGACATTTTCACTTAGGGGGTGTACTCACTTTTGTTGCCAGCAGTTTAGACATTAATGGCTGTGTGTTGAGTTATTTTGAGGGGA